ACATTCATAAGAAGATAATAGTAATGTTTTATGGCATGATAATATTAAACATAGTCTTTTCGGAAGTGACAATCACAAAGAAAATAATAGTCATAATAATTGAATTACAATTTTACGACTAATGAATGAATCTGCTTAATTTTTCTTGATAAGTATCTGTTATCATTCTTTTTATTAATAAATGGTGCAAAAGTCTTTGGAAGAATATCGAAATCTATTTCTCAATAATGCAATAACGAATCGACTGCGACATTTTCTGTTTTAAAGAAAAAAAGTTTGAAAAGTATATACATAATACAAAACAACACAATTTTTAGATACGCCCATTATTCAATATCGTATCCATAGGACACTTGTGTTGAGGTGTGAGTGAATGTGCGCAGATGTGAACGCCAATGTCAGTATGAATATGTATCTACTCTTCTTTCACACGCATAACTATACACCCACACGCACACCGTCAGCCATACCCGTCGTGACATAAAAAAGGTATTCGAATTTTGAAAATTTTTACTCTCTTCCGAATCTCAAACCATAATCTATTTTCATTTTAGAATGAATCATCCTCTAACAATTTCTCTTCGATCAAACTCATGCCGGAATCAATAACAAGAACCTATGAAAATGTATCTAGATTCGGATCAATCTAATGTAATTGAAGCAAAAATATCATATTTTCGCAGAAAAATGCAAGCAATCCATTGTCCTTGAAAGATGTTGATAGTACTCGTAATTGGATTCTATTTTATAATTCTATCTTCCCATCAATATCTTGATGTTCTGTATTTTCACAAGGAAACATACGTAAACCTCGAAACAAACTTAAGTATAAAAGACTTTCATATAACAAGTGGTGATGCTATTTTAAATTGGTGTATTCAGAATCATGTTGACTTATCGAACTGTTCATGGTCGATAGGAACATTTCGAAGCCATTTTTGTACAATGGCAGCCTTAATCAATCCACCATATCCCTATTCTATCAACAACAATACTGGACTTGCATTTATTCGATTAGGAGATGGAGAAATGAAGCTTATGTTTGGAATATCTGTATAATCTATTGATCCAGGGTTATGGCGTGGTAGTCAATCAAGATTAGAACAGGATTTGAAAGAAGCATTGCTTTATCCTAAATATCAATATAATGCATTTAGTCCATTTTACTATGGAATTTATGATGCTAAGAACATTTGTCCTTTTCATGAATTTATCACCATGATTTATCAACATCCAAAGTATTTAACGTATACTAATTTATTTGTTAATTCTAACTATCCTGCTACAAAGTTATTGCATCGTTCACTGATTGGAGATCATCGAAAAAAGATTATTCTTATAATTAACAATGGAACTAGCTCGAAAAAACTAGCTGAACTAGATGATTGGACTTGTGAAATACTACTTTATCCACATAATGGACCATTGATGTGGGAAAACGATCAGTTCAGAGAAGAAGCAATTCAAAGAATTGTAACTACAGCAAAATGATATAGAAATCGATTATTTGCATTTTTCTTAGGTCCATTATCGAGAGTTCTTATACATCATGCTTGGCTTGAGAATCCTTTCAATCGTTATATAGACTTTGGTTCTATATTAGATGAAATGACAAAAAACAGAATGACTCGACCATATCAATTGAATGCTGAACTCAACCATGATTCAACATATATTATAAAGTTTGATGCAAACAAACGTCTATTTCAAGTATCAAGTGTAAACTAAAAGTATGTACGGTTTCTTTATTAGTTTGCTTCGTTCATATCTTTTTATCTTATAAAACAGTAAACTTATGTTGATAATTAGGCTGTTTATCAAATAAAGTCGATAGTATCTTCAGGACCGTTAATCAAGCTTGACCGAGACTATGAAAGTCAGTCCATAGGCTACTAAATCTTCATTCAATCTAAACTTGGCGTCTGCTATTCAATTATTTTTTTATTTGACAATTAAAATATAAATCATTTATTGACACATTTACTATGAATTCTTAAACAGGACTGAGTTTAGCAGAAAAACTAAGTACAATATTAATATCTGACATATCATAAACGAATCAGTCGTTATAAACGATTTAACGAAACCAAGCCATTTCTGTAACAGCTAGGATTGCAATCGACAGCGTCTTTTCTTTATCGGTAGTGTAACAAACAGACTAGGATGCCAATATGAGTCATTCTTCATTTTTCTGACCTAATAACAGTCAAAGCAACTCCTCGATTAGTCATATCTGCATCCTAATTATTATAGTAATAATATGGCAGGCCTTCTTTAGTGCTGTTTACTATTTGCTTTCAAAAGTGTCTTTGTCTCTTAATATCAATTGATGAAAAGAAAGACTAATAGGAGGACTACAAATTCTATATTACCTTTCCATATTACATTCACTTTGTTATTTCCTAGATCTTTGCCGAATACATCCTATAAACAATAAGTGAAATATAAGTAAATTGATGATAAAGTATAATGTCAAGTGGTTACTAGATTTTCTTTCGATAGCATCATCCGATTTGAAAGTAGGCAAACAAAATATGATTAGTACACTATAATAAGTTTTGAGTAAACGGAATAGTCCGATGCATCTGCTCCCGCATAAATAGTCTTCGATTTACGAAACATCATATCAAGAAAAACTTTCATAAAGCAACATCCATTTACCCCATATTCGAACTTGTATTTATCAACTCATGAGTTTGCACGTCAATTGCAGCATATTGAATATCACAAATCTTATGTGCATAGAATTAGCGTTGACTAATGCGTAATAAGTGCTTCGATTCAACAACTATAAATGAAAAAGAATTTCTTGTGTACGTGCATCTCTTGAAACAGGCCGCAAACTTACTCTTTAATAACATTGCCTTAATCTCAAAACTTATTTGAGTTCGACATTGGCTACGAAACCTGCAATAATTCTTTATACGTATAAACTCTAAGAATCTTTGCTACGAATTCTTTGGAATATGATGGAAAACCTATAGAGTTTCGTTTTAAACTTCGATGGTTTCGTATTTGAAATAGCAAACACTCGTCCTTTAGAAAACTTTAAAAGGTTTCTTAGCAAAAGTTCCAAAAGTGTGTCTAGGTGAAGAACTATTTTAAGTTTCATAGTCCCTACCAAACTTCAAAAAGATTCTATATGAAACCTTTTTTTTTTTCAAAGTGTACAGGCAAATTGAATTTTAACATTCAGCAATTATGAACAAAGCTTCACATGGACAAAAGTTGTCACAGCAGCATTCAAGGCCAAACACATCAAATCAATAGTAAGTATATTAAAACAGAAAGTTGATGCTTATCATTGATGAATGGTAGATAAGATCAGTAAAGGTATTTACACATGAACTCAGAAGAGATTCATGTTGCCAATATCGGATTAGCTGTAGTGCTTAACCAGAAATTCCACTAACAACCGTGATGATATGACAAATCGGCAGTTAACTGCTTACAATGACGGCTAAGTCGCACATAAAAACAGAAAAATTCTGTATGAGATGCAAATAGTACTATTTTAGAGTTTTTTATCAATTAAAAATATTTCGTAGTCTACTTCAGCCTATAAATTATGTTTGTGCTCATTCAGTAACACAATAAATATAAAAACTAAAATAAAAACCGATATCACTGCAAAATGTATTATTAGTTTTCTTCAAGTTCAGTATCCAGCAGAAGTGACCAAATTGTATTCGAAGAAAATACCGATAAAATCACGGTCAACCGCCAGTTCTTTGGTAATTTCTATTGCATAGATCTCATCTGATACAACCATTGTGAGACTCAACACAAAATTCGGAATAAAATCTACGGAAGTTTATCATAAAGTATTATCAAAATTATAGTATTTTGAACTCAAACTTCATCTTTTTTTTGCCGAATAATCCTTTTTGAAAACATTACCATTCAATATAGAATGAAATTCTGCGTCTAACACGACGACTAAATTGCTAACATAATATCTTGAAATAAATATGAACTAAAAAGACCAATGTTCACTATTAGCAATGAATGCACCATCCATCATTTTCGTTCGAAACCCTAATTTTTTTCTCAATGACTTCTATTGGAACTGACACTAGTTAATAAAGAATTAAATTCTACACCGAGCATAATCAACTAAAGAGTTAACTCAAGCTAAGAAACAAATCGAATACGAAGGCTAACTTTATTTATGTGATGTTTTCAAAATTTTCAGTAAGAAATATCAAGCAATATCATGAGATATACATTTACAACAAGTTTTACCAATTCGAGCTCAGTTTCAAACTAAAAAAAAAAAATGCTTTTACGTGATTCAACATGATCCACAACTTAAGTTATTCTCCCGTCTAACATATTACACGATCATTTTGTTTTGTGAACAGGAGCAGTTTTAAGTAAAATAAGAAATCGACTTTTTATTCGAAAACAAAGATAGAAACAAAAAAAATTTTTGATTAGTTCTCTGATTTGTCACTACTAGAGGAATAAGAAAGTAAAGTAAACACGTGTTATTAATAAAATCTTTTTAAAAAAATCGGTTTACTATAAATATGTATTGTATGATAATTTGTACATAAAAATATCGATTTCATATCTATTTTATTATTTGTTTATCAATCAATTTTAAAATTCTTATCATATGTACGAATATGTATTCTTTATAAATCAAAATGAATTCAAAGGATTATTTTTCTTTCTTATCCAGAGAAAAAAAAATTATCTATTAAACACAAGCAGTCAAAGATGAGCAATTAACAATTTACAACGACTACTATTCTTCTTTTTCAGTCAATACATTTAAACTTTGGAGAAATGTCTGGTTTTTTTTTTTTTACTTTTTAACAGTCGAGATAATTTTAACTTAAACATCTTT